ACATCTGTGGTTGTGCATTGTTGCCAGATAAAAGTAGATCTCACTCAATTTACAATTATTTATTTACGTTTTAGGAGAAGAAACTTTCTGCTTAATGTCGTTGATGTCATATTCTTTGAACCAATATATCAATATATTCAAAAACCAAATGCACTTTCGTGAAATTTGAAAAGTGATTTGACATGCGCTACGTTTGCATATCACAGATTATACGAAGAGGTAAATCTTTTCAATATATATGCGGGTCACCGAGGTATAATGCATATATTTAATTCCAAAATTATATTATACTCTACTATCAGTGTCAATCAAATGTAAATAGAAAAATATGCAATGATTCACAAGAATGTTTTCAATCAGTCTGTAAAATTTATCAAAGTCGTATCCTTCCTCTTCACATTTTGCACCAGATTGCATCTTAATCTTATATGTGGATTTCAAGTACTGATGAAAGAGGTGTTTTTTTATATATAAATGTTAAACTGATAAACAGATGAAAAGTATTGCTTTATCTCCCCCGTCTTTGTGTCATCTATGAACATTTTTGTAGAATATGTAACAATATTTGATTGCTTTGCAGGTATATGTCGAAAACATGTTTTAATGGCAGTCTTTATTCGTTTTAAAATGGATTTTAAAACAAACTAATTCAACCCCGCCATAATTTGTATTTTCCTGTCCCATGTCAGGAGCCTGTAATTCAGTGGTTGCCGTTTGTTGCTGTATATCATATTAGTTTTTCGATCATCGTTTTGTACATAAATCAGGCCGTTAGTTTTCTTGTTTGAATTGTTTTACATTTGTCATTTCGGTGCCTTTTATAGCTGACTAGGCGGTATGGGTTTTGTTCATTGTTGAAGGACATACGAAGACCTATAATTTCTGGTAAACTTCTAGGTCATTTGGTCTCTGGTGGAGAGTTGTCTCATTGGCAATCATACTACATCTTCTTATTCTTATATTTATTGTTAGTTTCTAGAGTGTTTTTTATATGATGTTATATGATGTAACGAATCAATCCTAATTACGTTTTGTTTTATATGGATAGTTTATAATGTTGGTTTTATAATATATGTGATGAGGACAATTTACAAGTACACATACATTGAAAACTGTTACGTCAATACAACAGGATGCAAAATGTATGTCCTGTTAAAATAATTTTTATATCAAGGGTTTTACATGACCGCATGGAGTAATCTTTACGGGACGAGATATAACTTTTTATTAGGGATGTCAACGAGTACTCGAGTATTCGAGTATCGCTCGGTAGTACCGAGTATCGAATACCAAAACGATACTCGACTAATCGGTTTCCTGTTAGAATATCGCTGTCTTCTTTATATAAAATTGGTCTTCTTGAGAACCGGTTACCTCTTTCGGAAAATTAAATAGGCATTACTGATTAATCATACTAGTGAATAAAATACTTTTTGTTTCGAATGCTTGTGCTAAATTTTCATTTAAAATGCCTCAGAAAATACGTGGGCTATACCTGGGCTAACACTTTAGACATGTTAAACTAAACATGTCTTAGACATTTCGTCACATCGGTACCGTCAGAGCAAATATTTTCGTCTGCAATACTGAAAGTTGCAAAGTTGTTTTGCAGTTATAGTTGACAAGAAAAAATTTTCAAATAAATTAAATTCGTTGCATCCTCTGGTGACCCTCAGTGAATAGTTAGACTTTCAATCCTTACGCCTTTGTAAACATTAAATGTGTTTTCTTAACGATTACCAAATACTATTGTTTGATATGGAATTTCCTTGTTATAATTTTTAAATAGGTGTTCATTAAATTATATTGATTATATTTTATTTTTTACTTAATTAGTATTTGTAGGTACTGGGCTATTAATTATAGTGTGTAATTCCTTTTCCCAGATACTTATGTAGATGGTTTTTCGTCCGTTGAACAACATACTACAGAATGTAAAATACGTTTTTTGAGTTTCCGTGTTGTAGGTATTTTACCGAGCGAGTACTCGAGTATCGCCCGATAAAACCAACGAGTACTCGATTAGTAATTGTTCACCGAGTTGACATTCCTACTTTTTATTGTACATTTTTAAATTATGACATGATACAGTTTAGAATGGAAGCTATCTGTTATTTATTCATTTCCTAAAATGAGAACTTAAATAATAAGGTTAAACACTTTTGTATGTATCATAAAAGCTTTGTATCGTCAGTATAAAACACTACGCTGAAGATTACAAGTCTGTTTGTGCACGAAAATTGTAAGCAACGACCTAGATGTGTTCATGACGGGCAATTTGGGCTCCAAGGTACATGCAATACTTCTTCAAACGATAGTTTGTCCATTCTCTCTCACAAATTCTCATTCCGGCTGGTGTGTCCATGAATTTCATTTCTCATTGTCTGAATTGTCTTAATAACGTTGGTTCTGTTCTCTTGGAATTCAATTGTTGGAGCAGCATGCGGTTATTTCATAATCTCATTAACAAAACAGTCTGATATGGTTACCATCTGTTGTTATTTTTCTTTACAAGTTCTTTTTATTATTTTTTGTATAATCTATATACGGGGTCATAAACAATGACTTATTTCCTCTGTTTGGTTCAAATTTAATTATGTCCATCTTGTTACCTAGAACATGTTACAATTTTTAATATTATACCAGTAAATGTCTTGTTTTTGAATAAGAAATAAGTATGAACTGACCGAGATACCCTTTTTATATATTAAATATGTTGACTGCTGTACCCCTATTTTTGATATTTTTACCTATTATGTCTGTTTGTTTTGTTCACACATTGTTATCAATATAATAGAATTTAATGCGACTGTCATACAAGTGAGAGGTTTAGCTAGCTATAAAATCAGGTTTAATCCACCATTTTCTACATAAGAAAATGTCTGTACCAAGTCAGGAATATGAGCTTTTGATTTTGCCGTTTTGAATTTTCCTTGGAGTTCAGTATTTTTGTTATTTTCCTTTTGGCAGTGAGGATAGAGTTTATTTGCTCCATGTTGAGGGCCTCGCTGTTCCTTTGCTTTTTCTGTGTTTTTTTGCTGCGCATGTACTGATTATTTGTCATGGATGGATACCCATATCATTTGTTTTTCTTTTATACTTAATTTGGGCCAGAGATCATGTCTTACTTGCGTTATTATATCGGATGGCTGAATTACATAACTTATGAGTTTGAATGTCCCTTTGCAAATTCAAAAAGGAGATGTCCGAAAAATTGACAACATCAAAAGCTATAATCAACTGAACAAATGAAAAAAACTGTCATATTCCTGACTTGATACAGACATTTTCCGAAGAAAATTGAGGATTCAGCCTGGTTTTATAGTTAGCTAAACCTCCCACTTGTATGACAGTTGTTTATAGTTCTGTTACATTGACAAAATTGGGTAAGCAACCCAAACAGACATAATAGGTTAATGTGGCAATAATTGGGATTCAGCAGCCAAATCTGTATAAACATGCATCACAGACATATAACAAAAACGACTAAAAAATTAAAACAAACAAACAAATTAATCGGGAAAAGACACTACGAAAAGGATGTAGCATATTTAAATTGACATTGACGTCAACAAAGATAGTCTTCATTTTCTCATTACACAATTTTTATAAGACTCGCAAACGTAGAAAATGGAAATGACACAGTATATTTCTTTGTAGCCGAATCATTTTTCTGGATTTGCTTTCACGGTTCAACCCCCAAGGAGTTATAACAATCTAAATACTTGCGAAGCTGAATGACCATTTGGAACATAAAATCCTTGCCTGACTGACCATAAGGGATATAAAATCCTTGCCTGACTGACAATAAGGGACATAAAATCTTTGCCTGACTGACCATAAGGGACATAAAATCCTTGCCTGACTGACCATAAGTGACATAAAATCCAAATCCACTTAAGGTCAACTTTGCCCGATGCAATAGACCACTTTCGAGTTATGTCGTTCACCGGAAAATTTAAGTTCGTCAATTTTGTGCGCCTTTGTGACGTCATTTACCAGATAGAGGGGATCGCCTGTATCCCTCCTCTATTAAAGATCATCAAGCGTCTTTGTGATCGTCAACATACAAGATAAACTAGAAATAATATTTGTTCCGTAAGCACTTAATCACAATTCCCTAATGACAGCAGTGCTGATTATCAATTATAAGAATTTAATTTGCTGAATAATTTGTGCAATATAGCAGTATCATTTTTTTCAACCAATCGCTCAACATAGAAACGGAAGTGACGACGCCCCTAAACGCACGAATGATGTTCACTAAAACCAAAGTTTTTGACGGAAATGCAACGAACTCGAAAGTTGTCTATTACAACCTCAAATCTTAAATAATTTCTAAATTTAACAACGAACAATTTGATAAAAGTCAGAGTTAGTGCTTTGATAAGAACCACCTTGTTTCAAATGGCACAGACATCGAAGTAAAATTATTGAAATGATAGATATATGTTGACCGACAACATAATTGTTGAATTTTGTGGATTAATATTTAATTAACTGTACTAACTTTGCACCCTGGGTAACTGAATAACTCAAACTATCATATATCAAACAGAATAACAGAAAACTTATAAGAGACAACAGGGACGGATCCAGGATTTTGTGAAATAGGGCGGGAGTTGTTGCCAAAAACGGAATTTATACTGCCAAGGGGAGCGAATTTTTTGGACGATTTTATGCTAAACAATGATAAAATTTCCAATCAAAACGGTCCTGTACGCCGTGTGCGCCCTTGAATCCACCACAGGATAAGAAGAACATTAAGAACATTGATGTAGAAGTTTTTTTAATTTTACGTTTACTTTTACTTAAGACGTCCTTCACTAAGTATTCTATTAATTATAAGGTGAAGCACATAGTATATTTCGAAATTCCATTATACTTAGAAAATACGTAAATTGCGCAAAATCATTGTTATCATCAATTAATAGTTTCCGCCACTTATCTTTTTTATCATGGTGGTACTTGAATTGTTTATTAGAAATAAACCACTTTAAAATGAACAATTTCATCCATAAAACTCTTAGTAGCCAAATGTAAAGTACAGTTGAGAACATGGAGAATTCAACATTCAATAATACGATTCACTTATCAACGGCAGACTCAATAAGTTCCGTTATAACGACAGAAACTGTATTTACGACTATGGATGTTGCAGTTCCAGTATTTAATAAAACCATAGGAACAGATGCAACTGACATAACAACAATTAATTCAATCATCGAGTCAACGGTTCTGCTGGATGAGTCAACGTTTCTGCTGGATGAGTCAACTGCAAATTTCACGGGTCAATTCAACACCACTTTCGGATTTAATGGAACAGACAGGAATATTGATAAGAATGGGCTACTCCAGTGGGAAAACTACAATCTAGCCAAAGCTCTAACACCAGTGACAATTTATCTTATTATCCTAATGATCATAGGGATATTCGGAAACTCTCTGGTGATATATGTTTACAAGTTTCGATTCAAACGGAGTACATCTAGAATTTTCATACTGAGTCTTGCTATCTTTGACCTTTTGACATGTCTGTTTGGGATGCCGTATCATATTTTGGACATGATATACCCTCTAACTTTTGTTTGGAATGGCGTTTGTAAAGGGTTAAGTTTCGCGCTGACGTTTACAATTTTGGCATCAATATTTGTATTAAACTTGATTGCAATTGACCGCTACCGGAAAATTTGTATCCCTTTCAAAAAGCAACTTTCTGGAAAAGGGACATTGATAATGTGCTGGGTGGTAGTTTTTGTTGCCCTCATCATGGCTGTTCCAATTATATTTATATACGGTTCCGTAGAAGTGGAAACTAGAATTCCAAATGTTCCCGGAATGGAATGTTACATTTCCGCCAATCTTATGGACTCGGTAATACCAATGATTTATGATGCAACTAACATTCTTATTTTTGTAGTCACTGTCTTACTTTTAAGTGGGTTATACATAAAAGTTGGCATTGTAGTTTGGGAAAGAAAACAATTCCATGAAATAGTACGGAATGCATCTAAACATTCGACTACATCCGTAACTAGCACTCCGGAAACTATGGTTTTCCAAATGCATACTCTAAACGATGAGGCAAAACTTGGTGTTCAATCAAACAAGAGCAATAACGAAAATGCTGTTCAACTGTATAAGACAAAAACTTCAATATACAAACAACCATCGATAGATTCATCACGTAATTCTCCAACAATCAGAAAAAAAGAGAAAAATGCACAACAAAAGCAAATGAAGCGTTTGATGTCCGAGTTGTCAACCGTTAGCGGCGACGAGTCAAATACAACTGGTAAATCAGCGTCAGTTTCGCAGAAAAAACATATGAGAACTCTACGAATAACGGCCATGTTGTTCATCATTACCTTGATATTTGTCGTGAGTTTCCTCCCTTATCTGACAATCCAGATTATGAATGGATCAAATGAAAACTTTTGGAATGAGATGAGTATTCCGGAACTGATCCTAGTCCATCTCCTGATGAGAACTTACTTTATAAATAATATGATCAATCCAATTGTCTATTGGTTCTTGGATAAAAAATTTAAGCAGGAGGTGAAAAAATTTTTCCGTGATATCAGCAAATGTAAATGGTCGAAAACCTTCAAACCAGGGAATCGATCGTTAACCTCATAGTGCGTCTAAGTATAGAAAAAAATGCAAAAACAATTTCACGAACTTGCATTCTACAGTGAGATTTATATTCAAAACATAAAAATATTTGTCTGACCTTATGTTTTCTCAGTTTTGGTGGACTGAACAGTCGATTTAAGGATGCGGGTAATTTCGCTAAAATAAGAAGTAAACAGATATGTGTTCCCATGGATACTTTAAGCACGAAGAGCAATGTTCATTTTCGAAGTATATTTAGAGAAATGTATCAATTGATTTTTTCGACTACTGTTGGTATTCATTAACAAGAAACCTTTCCAACAATTAACTAAATTAATTTTCAAGAAACTGCGTTGGGCACATTGTCTAATTCGCCTTTTCAGAATCTAATGCAATGTGGGTAATATTTTCAAAAGCGTACACTAAAATGTTGTTATTGGTTTAAAACTTTCTAAACAATAGAAATTGAAACAATGACGTGAGGTTCTTTTCATTTTGGTGTACGAACAAAATGAGATTACCCATATTCCTTTATATTCTGATAAGGCGAACTGGTGTGGACACTATCGTAATAAATATTTTGTCCCTATCTTAAATTATTCCTGTTCAAGTTAGAAAATATTAGGAATCTAATGTTTTTTTTATGATTTTAACTATTCTTAAAAAGTTTTATCGGGTCTTCTCGTTTGTTGCACATATGAGTTCGGTCTTCTCTCGGTATATTCTCATTTATGATAGATCATGATATATCCAAATGACGTCCCTATGACTTTTCTTTAGTGACTTCAATTTAAAACCTAACTCGTATCTAATATATTAGTTTGGTTTGTTAATATTTTCCCCTGCGCTACTCTGATTTAACTCCTATATATTTATGTACTGTCATGTTATTTTACATATCTGGATAGCAGGAAAAAAATTAGTACATAAGGTACCATATCAATCTCTTATCATAGCATTATCATAAACTTATTTTACACAAAACACGTATAACCAACTGTTTTTTATAGTTAAAAGAATTTAAAAATATATGTGCTTACTCTGTTTTAATATTATTTTTATGGTCCCGCCACAAAGTGGTCGGGCCATATAGTGTTACCCTTATCCGTCTTTCCGTCATTCTGCAACGAACAGTTATACGAACTTTTTTTTCTAAACGCCTTCACATATTGAGCTGATTTTTAGTATGTGAGTCTAATATAATGAGTTACAGATCGAGTTTACGTTTGGTTCCGCTCCGCTGATTTTTGCAGAAATAACGGGCTTTAGAAAATAACAGTTATAAGGGTTTTTTTTCTAAACGCCTTCAAATATTGAGCTGATTTTTAGTATGTAATATAAAAAAAGAAGATGTGGTATGATTGCCAATGAGACAACTCTCCACAAGAGACCAAATGACACAGAAATTAACAACTATAGGTTACCGTACGGCCTTCAACAATGAGCAAAGCCCATACCGCACAGTCAGCTTTAAAAGGCCCCGAAATGACAATGTAAAACAATTCAAACGAGAAAACTAACGGCCTAATTTATGTACAAAAAATGAACAAAAAACAAATATGTAACACATAAACAAACGACAACCACTGAATTACAGGCTCCTGACTTGGGACAGGCACATACATACAGAATGTGGCGGGGTTAAACATGTTAGAGGGATTCCAACCCTCCCCCTAACCTGGGACAGTGGTGTTAGTCTACTATGATGAGTTACAGATCGAGTTTAGGTTTAGTTCCGCTCCGCCGATTTTTGCCGAAATTGCGGGCTTTGGACTTTCAAAATTTTGTGAAAATAACAGTTATACGGACTTTTTTTCTAAACGCCTTCACATATTGAGCTGATTTTTGGTATGTGAGTCTACTATGATGAGTTACAGATCTAGTTTACGTTTTGTTCCGCTCCACTGATGTGTGCCTAAGTTAGGGCTTTGGACTTTGAAAATTTCGCAAAAATAAGAGTTATACGGACCTTCATTCTCAAATTTGCTCTCCTAAAAATGGCTTCAAGCAGTATTTGTGAGCGGGGCCATTCGTGGCGTTTCGACACATCTAGTTTAATTAAACGAACAACGTGAAAGATTTCTAGTAACTTTACTTTTGGGGAAAACGTCGTTACAAAAAATGTTAATACTCCTATTTATGAGGGTCTGGATTGGAGGGGGTGTCTTCACTTCTGTATTCTTAATTTTTTCGGTCATTTTTCTCTTTTTTTAATACATTTTGTCGATTATTCTCTATTTTTTTATACTTAAGAACCCCAGTATTCTCTATTCTTTATTTTGTTGGCCCATTTTATACAGTTTTTGTCCATTATTCTCTATTCTTTATTTTTTGGCCCATTTTTATACAGTTTTTGTCCATTATTCTTTATGAAGTAAACCATATCCAGACCCTCATCTATATCTTTAAACTCGTCTCAATTTGTTAGAAAAAGACTTAAACTTTTTCACATATCTTAAAATGGACTTGAATATCATAGGAATATTTATAATACAAGATGGATGTCACAGTGGAACACAGTTTTATATAGGAATCTATGTGGGAAACATATGAGAAATAGCTCAGATATTGTCTAGTGGGGGCACAACCACTGCATAAATTCCTCGGAGAAAACACTGTCAAACATACATGTTAAACATGTTTAACCCCTCCACATTGTATGTGCCTGTCTCAAATCAGGAGCCTGTAGTTCAGTTGTTGTCGTTGGTTCATGTCTGTCATATTTGGAAATTGTTTTGTTATAAATTATGCCGTTAGATTTCTCAATCGAATTGTTTTATATTTTTCATGTCGGGGCCTTTTATTGTCGCCTATATGGTATGGGGTTTTCTCATTGTCGAAGGCGGTACAATTGCCTATAGAATTGCTTACATCCACTTCATTTGAACTTTGGTGGATAGTTGTCGCATTGTCAATCATACCACATCTCCTTGTTATAGCACTAAATAAAACAATTACTATCCACTCTGATATGTTTCCACACTTATACATAATATAAATATACGTTTCATGAATTTCTTTTAAATGGACATAACTTCAAAAAAGGGAGTATATTCGATAAGGCTCCAATATGATCTAGTTATATTTCAAATTAGTATTGATCGCTAAATTGAATCATTGTTGAAAAAAGAAAAGATGGAAAATCTCTTTATTTCAGCCTTTCTGTTATGAAGTCCCAATTAGTACAAATGACAATTTCCGTTCATTTTCGTGGTTGATTGATTGATTGATTGGTGTTTAACGCCACTTTCAACATTATTGTGCTATTTCGTGGCGTTCATTTTCATGACCTGAAACACATGACACGCGTCTTAAAAAAAGCCCTGTGTTATAGTAAGTTCTTTTGTTGGGCTGTTGTGCTGGTATACTACTGTTCCAGGTTACTGGGATGGTTGGGCGCCCGCAAACAAGTTATCCCACCAGATTATGTATGTGTTGTCCCACGACAGGAAGGAGCCTGTAATTCAAGAGTTGTCTTTTTTTTGCCGCATATCAAATTTCTTTTTCGTTTAATGTTTTGTACATATATCAGGCCTATGGTTTTCTGATTTAAATCTTTTAACAATTGTCATGTCGGGGCTTGTCATACTTCATATGCGGTATGGATTTTTCTCATTGTTCAAGACCGCACGGTGACCTGGATTTTTCTCATTGTTCAAGACCGCACGGTGACCTGGATTTTTCTCATTGTTCAAGACCGCACGGTGACCTGGATTTTTCTCATCGTTCAAGACCACACGGTGACCTAAAGTTGCTAATTCCTACGTCAAAGTTGTCTTATTTGTAAACATACTTCCTCTATTTTTTTTATATTGTAATTGTTATAGGCTTGATGTGTTTGAAGTCAAGAAAATCTCTTTAGGTCAATTTGGTGCCTAAATTTATGTGACCATTTCAAAGGAAAAGTTCTATATAAATTGTTCTATTTCACTTTCTGGAATGTTCTTTTTCATACAACTTTTCTTTACAACTCATCATGAAATAATGGACTTGATATCATGGGCCAAATAAGCCCCTTGTCGCTGCTACCCCTTACTCCATTAAAGTTAATACATGATTTTTGTTCATTGCGAAGTTGCATGTTTATGTCCAGTCTTTCGTTTGCCAATGCTTTAATATTCTATTTAGACTGGTACCCGGCCGTTATTTAACAAGTTTCCCAATACATACTGAATATTTTACGGAGGGGACCAACCTATATTCTACTGTACTGGAGAGTATATTGTTTTATATTAATAATATATAAATTTAATTTCAATTTAAATTCTATGAGTAATAATATTCACCAATATTCATGCAGTAACCCTTTTATCGAAGAGCAAAGCTTTAAAATGTGTTTTAAACAACTTATTTTTCTAAGTGATGACCACACTATTTGGTGCTTAATTTGTACCATTGCAATATCAAAATTAGTGCAAGCTAACTTTTGGTCAAGTTCTGTATTGTTGTTATACAATAACACTAAATATAATGTAGACATGTTATATATTAAAATATTGTCAGTTTTTTCATTTGTTTTCTGTTTTAATACGCAGATCTAACATTCGGCTAAATCATATACCATTCAAAATCATAAAGGAGGATCTGGATGGGGTTTACAGACTAGAGAATAATGGGCAAAATGTGCAGAATAAATGGCAAAATGAATAAAGAATAGAGAAAAATAGGACAAAAAAATAAAGAATAGAGAATAATGGGGTGCTAAAATATAAAAAATACAGAAAAAAATATCTAAACAATTAAAGAATACCGAAATGAAGGACCCCCCATCCAGACCCTTGACATATAATCTGCGATTTATGTTTTGCATTGTTGCCAACTATTGGTACAGTGCAATTTCTGTCTACTCAAGGTCAACAGTCAAGGACGGATAGTTTCTTATATCGCTGGTGAACATACAACCATTTGACTTGTCTACTGTTTACTTTAGGATACATCATACTAAACTTAGAGACAGATTGACAGATTTTGTATTAAATGGCCAACACAGATTCAAATATCTTGTTTTAGGAAGTTACGAAGTTTTACATTGTTGTGCTGATATTTAGAGTAATTATGAATATAATATGTGTTTTCAGCCGTGTATCACCTTTATTGGTTATCCAATTGATGGATCTGTCGTAGAGTTGTCACTTGTTTAGACGTACCTATATATATATATTCAATTTAAACTTGTATATATATACATATATATATATATACAAGTCTAAATTGAAAACAACGTTCAAACCTATGATTGCGTTGGATAAAAACCGCAATTTTTATAAGTGTGCATGTAAAACAAATTTCTTGTTAAAGGGGTCTAAATACAGCACAAACAACATTTTCCAAAAGACCAAAAAAGTGAAAAAGTATATTTTAACAAAACGCATTTGACTAACAGGTCGAACAACAAATGTTCTTAAACCCATATATATATATATATATATGTATATATTCATAAATATCAGCACAACAATGTTAAATCTGCAAATTCGCCGGGATTCGAACTCATGCTATTGGGATATCGAGACAACACCGCCTGCACTGGGCCACCCTTAAAAAAATGTTTGTTTGGCATTGCCGACTCACACTATCAGCAGGTGGGTAGGTAGGTAGAGAAATTATTATTTTTTTCTATATTTAAAAGCTTTATACATGTAAATCATGAAGTCTCTAGATCAATGGTGTCTAAATCATTGCAGCATTGTTGTGTGTACATGCTGATGGTTTCTTTGAAAGGGGTCAACCGTCAATGTCACATGCTACATCATATGGATAGTTTCATGTAAGACAGTCAGTTTTATTGGCAGAGTTAACCAAAGTACCCAGAAAAAAACACAGAACTGAGGCAGGAAACTGACAAATTAACCATATAAAATGTATGACGTGAAAATTGAACTTTAATTGTGGGACTACCCATTGAACAGAGACCTGATGTCACATCTTGAAGTTGTGGTCACAGTTTGGTAAAATTACCATATTTTAAATGGCTCAACCACTCAGCTCCTTGTACAAATAGACAATGATTTAAAACTTTGATTGTTTGCTTTGGTTTTATAAACATCACTTTCTACACCATATGGGTAATTTCATGGCAGTCAGTTTTGTTGGCGTACTTAACCGTAGTACTTGAAGGAAAGTGCCAACCTGCGGGAGGAAACTGACTAACCTTATCACATATGACATGAAAATCAAACCTTAATTTTGCAACTGCCCATCTAGGGCTCAAACCAACACCTAGAGGCTAGTAATCATACATGTAAGGTGTGACAAACTACCATACAAACACGCCTACTGCCCCTGATAAGTTTTGAGGATAAAGGATCTGTACCAAATTAGGATAGCAAAATATTAAAAATTTGGAAGGTTGGCACAAATAGACATGGTGTTTATACTATTATTATCCAAGTGCAAGGTTTTTCATGGCTAGGTGTAAAATGTATGATAAATTCAAAATGGAAATATGCAGCAGGACAGACAATTTTGGCAGATAAATAAATTATGGATTGTAATGCTTGTTTGATTAATAGAAATCTGGACATGCATTACATGAATACAGATAAATTAATGAGCCTTTAGAATTGCGGAAAAGGAGGGGATTTTATTCATCACTAGTACACTAGATACATTTATAAATATTTTTCTGTCAGTATCTTTTATGTTTTAAGAATTATCTTATTCATGTTAAGAAGAAAGGCAACAAAAGGGGGAAGTACTTCAATTGACACAAGATGCTAGTCTTTGTATGTTTTGTACCAGGCTAGCATCTACTGGTACAAAACTACTATAAACATGTAAATCTGGGACCATTTTGGTCTTTTAGCTTTGGTGCTTTCAGCCATAATTATCGTGAATGCATCATTGTGGTTCTGACTATAATAGATACTTTGTTCTCTGGTTCAAGGGAAAATTTGTCAATGATAAATTTCAAATATTTAATAAATTCAACAAATGTAAGAGCCACGCATATTTGTTCTGTGATGTCCCGGTGAAAAGCTTCTATCTCATGAAGCGACAAAGTCAAGCAGACATCAACTGTTTCTGCTTAACAAAAGATAAAATTTGAGTCCTCTACAAGGTCTCTCAGAACGTTTCTTTCAAAGAATTGCTGAAAATTTGATTTTTGATAAAATCCATCTCCCTTAACCAATGCATTGCAGCATAGGGAGATGCTTTCCCCTGCCGGCCTCTTTGACATTACTTTTGGCAGATTTTTTTCTATTCCATGTCATTTAAAAATTTGCTCCCAATACGATAAGGGGTCAACAGCTAATCATCGCTGGGGACGTCATCGCTGAGCACGTTAGTCCACGGAGAGGACGCTAAGGAGAGATAACTGTGTCGGTATTATATATTTGAGATGTATCATAGTTATCTCGCTTTAGATAATCTTATAACAAGAGATTTTAACATGTTTGAAGTAACATGAGGTTTTATAACATTTTTTAAATAACTCTCTAAATAAAGTTTCCATGAGACAGCAACCAAAATGTAATCGAAAAAGATGTTATGTAACATTTAAAATTACAAGGAAGGAAAACAAATATATACTGTCTTTACACTTGACAGCGATTTCAGCATAAATTTGCAAGCTTTTGTAAATCTTCTTCTTCTTCTAAAACAATTATAAATCTCAATATAATTTTTAAATGTATATTTTGAAATCGTCCTTTGGCAAAAATATCTGAACAATCTTATATATGTAGTATGTCCTCATATACCATATACAATGTACAGACAACTACCTGCGCGATGATCTATTTTTTATGCCAAAAAAATCAATCAGGGTAGACAACATTATGACTTTTTTTCTACAAGTATTTGAAACATTCCTGAGCTTGATTTGTTATTTTAGTTTCGACTACTGTTTTTTTTTTTTTTTTTTAATTTTCAGTAATAGAATGTTCATAGCAGGGATGCATATTCAACATCCTGAGTTTTGATTTTTCTGATGTCCACTGAAAAGTTCTGTTATGGCCATAAAAGGTGCGCCTTTCCAACGTCCTGAGTGTGGATTTATTCTGATGTACTTTAAAAATTGATTATAAAGTCATATACTGTGAATATAAAAAAGAAGATGTGGTATGATTGCCAATGAGACAACTCTCCACAACAGACCAAATGACACAGAAATTAACAGTTATAGGTCATCGTAAAGTTTAAACAATGAGAAAAAGCCCATACCTCATAGTCAATTGTAAAAGGCCCCGAAATCACAAATGTAAAACAATTCAAACGAGAAAACTTAGGGCCTTATTAATGTACAAAAAGATTCTGCTATCGACTGGTAAGTCATGATATGGTCATAGAAAATATATACACATCCAACGTCCTGAGCGTGGATTTATTGTGTTGTCGAGAAGTCGTATTAATATGCTCATAGAAGGTATGTATATCCAACGTCCTGAGCTTGGATTAATTCTGATGTCCACTAAAAAGTCATATAACGGTCATACAAAATTGTACATCCAACGTCCTGGGCGTAGATTAATTCTGATGTCCACTAAAAGTCATATGATGGTCATAAAAAATTGGCAAATCCAACGTCCTGAGCGTGGATTCATTCTGATGGCCACTGAAAAGTCATATAATGGTCATAGAAGATTGGCACATCCAACGTCCTGAGCGTGGATTAATTCTAATGGTCATAGAAGATTGGCACATCCAACGTCCTGATCGTGGATTAATTCTGATGGCCACTAAAAAGTCATATAATGGTCATAGAAGATTGGCACATCCAACGTCCTGATCGTGGATTAATTCTGATGGCCACTAAAAAGTCATATAATGGTCATAGAAGATTGGCACATCCAACGTCCTGAGCGTGGATTAATTCTGATGGCCACTAAAATGTCATAAAACGGTCATAGCAGATTGGCACATCCAACGTCCTGAGCGTGGATTAATTCTGATGGCCACTACAAAGTCATATAATGGTCATAGAAGATTGGCACATCCAACGTCCTGAGCGTGGATTAATTCTGATGGCCACTAAAAAGTCATATAATGGTCATAGCAGATTGGCACATCCAACGTCCTGAGCGTGGATTAATTCTGATGGCCACTAAAAAGTCATATAATGGTCATAGAAGATTGGCACATCCAACGTCCTGAGCGTGGATTAATTCTGATGGCCACTAAAAAGTCTTATAATGGTCATAGAAGATTGGCACATCCAACGTCCTGAGCGTGGATTAATTCTGATGGCCACTAAAAAGTCATAAAACGGTCATAGCAGATTGGCACATCCAACATCCTGAGCGTGGATTAATTCTAATGGTCATAGAAGATTGGCACATCCAACGTCCTGAGCGTGGATTAATTCTGATGGCCACTAAAAAGTCATATAATGGTCATAGAAGATTGGCACATCCAACGTCCTGAGCGTGGATTAATTCTGATGGCCACTAAAAAGTCATATAATGGTCATAGCAGATTGGCACATCCAACGTTCTGAGCGTGGATTAATTCTGATGGCCACTAAAAAGTCATATAATGGTCATAGAAGATTGGCACATCCAACGTCCTG